TTGGGATATGTTGTCTGTCTCATCACCTAATATGAAAAATCCCACATGCACCTAACAATGTAGTTGACAGAAATAACTGTACTGCGCAGCACAGAAATACTTTGCTTTGATGGATGCTTCATTGGCTTCTCTGGTGGTAGCTAGGTCAATTTTGGGGCTTTGAGGAAGATAGGACAGAGCAGTAATAGATTTGAGTTTTGAAATTGGACCAGTCAGATGCTTGGAACATTGTGACTCAATTTTGCAATGAAGCACTATGCCATATTTTTAACTTTGCCTAGTATCATTTTATGCAAGGCAAGATAGCCCTTTTGGTCATTATCAGCATTGTCTTCAGCTGGAAGCATGAGAACAGTTCACAGGAAACCACCCAGCAGTTTGCAAAATGGGAGGGAGTAGCTAAAAACCACCGCTATTCACCCAGAGATCCACTTTAGTGCATGGGGATGTGGGAATTTCTTGTACAAATGCCACATGCAAACCTATGCCATCTATTCTGTGATACCTACAGGTACAGCTTTGATTTTGATCGGAATTCCAAATAATTTACTGTTGTACCCACCAGACTCTAGAAAATGTGAATTAAAGTACATATTTATAGTCTTTTCTGGTATGTTTTCCTCTTTCTTGTGTTGGGTTGAGGAGATGAGGATTTTACTGTGGTGATTTCTTCTCTGCTCTGTGGTGGGCAGTGGAGGCCCTACAGGAAGGACTGTACACACCTCATTTCTCTGCACAGGAGCACCAGAGGGTAGGTGCTGTTCTATCTCCATTCCTGGGGAGCAGGGGAGGTGGGGGGGGGACCTGAGTGAGGCAGGAAAAGCAGACTCCAGAGCTGCTTTGCCTAATGGCACCTGTGGCATTTCCTAGTTTTGGTATCTTTTTATTTGAATTAAGACATAACCTTTTAAAATGCTTGTTTTTATTTGATTTTTGAATAGGTAATACATTCTACATGGTTAAAATTAGCCAAAAGATATAAAAAGTTCTACAGTGAGTGTCTTTTGTATCTGGTTGTCTCCCACCCTGCACATACATGTGCTCTGTGTGTAATTGCTTAGTTTGTTTCCATCCATACTTCTTAACATAGAAAATCGTATACAAATGTAAAGCCTTATTTTTTTCTCCTCACTTTAACTCAAAATGACATCTTCTACCAATATTTGTTATTTAACATCATATTCTTGGTAGTCTTCACATGTCGCCAGATAGCCTTCTCCCTTCTTTAGTGGCTTCTTAATGTTCCTTCCTATTGATAAGCTGTCATTTAACATCTGAGTTGTTTACAGGCCTTGAACATATGTCATTGCACATTTGTGTATACATATCTGTAGAATTACCCAGAATTTTGGAGTCAAAGGTCATGTATATTTGTAATAAAAGATACTGATACACTGCTCTCTGCACAAGACAGGCCATCTGAAATCTGTGACAGTGTCACCATCACAGATGCTAGAAAATGTTGGATTTGGGCCATTGTGATAGACGAAAAATGGTCAATGTGCTTTTTAGTTTATATGATTATTAGATAAGATTGGTCAACTTTTAAAGTTTAAGAGACATTTGTATTTGCTTTTGTTCATATCTGTTCATTTTTCTACATTTTCTAAGTGATTTCTAGGAGCTGTTAGAGATACTAATACCTCAACTGTAATGAGTGGAAAAGGTTTTCCCCAATTTGTTGTCATTGGGACTTATGATGACTTTACTATGCAATTTTCTTTTATTGTAGCAATTTTTAGTGCTTTTTTTTCTACCCTAGATTTTTAGTCTTAGAATGGCTTCCTCAATCTAGAATAGAATAGTTCACTATTGCCTTGTAGAGCTTTTATTTTTTTTTACAGTTAGGTTTTATATAACATAGCTTATAGATCAAACACTTTTCTCAGATGACTACCCCAGTTGTTACAATACCATTATCTAAACAGTTCAACTTTTCCTCACTATCCTTGAGTACATTTATCATTTTTTAAATCTCATACATGTTTTTCTCTGGTTGACTTACAGATGCACAGTACTGTGGCTTTAAGTATACAGGCTTTATTTGGTAATATCTGGATCCTCTACAGTTTTCCTAGCTGTTCATACTTGTCTTTGTATGATACATGGGGCATGCTAAAATTGTCTGGCTCCATGTTTTCTTGAGGACTGCACTCTAACCACTCCATATGTATGCTGTTATGCTGCCTGGCAAATTTGGTATTATTTTGTCAAACAGATACCTGACCCTGCCCATGTGGTCCAAATTCCATCACAGTGCTTCTGACTTATTTGAGGCTTAATTTCATGTAAAATCCTTATTCCCTTTCTCCCACTGACTTGTTTGTCCTGAAGTTGCATGTCTGTCAAAGACTGATGAGTAAGGGGTCCTTCAGTGAGCACAAAACTTGTAATGCCATAGGCAGCAGAGAAAGTACAAATGAAAGGATGCCTTCCAAAGAGGGTCTACATTTTCTTACACTGCTCTAAGGAGCCAGGAATATAGCTGTGAATGAGTCAGTTACCCATCACCATGCAGCTTACACTGGTGTCCCCTAATAACCAGATACTGAGGTACAATGCTCATGGTTCATGGCTCTGGGAAAGCCTCCTTTCCACGCCATGTGTGTGTGTGGGGGGAGGGGCACTGGGGTTTACACTCAGGGCCTTGTGCTTGCTAGGCTGGTACCACACTGCAGAGCCACACTTACAGACCTGTAGACCTGTTTGCTTCTAGTTTTTAAACAGGGTCTCACATTTATACCAGTGCTGTCCTGGAACTCTTGTCTTCTCAGTTATACTTCCACACACCTGAGCCCAGCTACTGAGCCCAGCTACTGAGCCCAGCTTAGGGTTAATACGGGATCCTACTAACTTTTTGTTCAGACTGGCCTCAAACTACAGTCTTGTGATCTCCACTTCCCAAACAGCTGGGATTACAGGCATGAGCCACCACGCCCAACTTTTTATACTTCATTAAAGCCTTCAAGGAACACTATTGGGAGAGTATGCCTCCTGGTACATTTTAGAGTTGGCAAGGGAGGATGTAGCTCAGTGATAGAGTGCTTGTCCTATACACATAAGGCCCTGGGTGCCATCCACAGCATGGTATAAGGAAGCATTGGCACGTATGATGGCAGTGGACACTGTAATAGAACCTCCAACAGCTCAGGCTCCTTGTGTACCACTGTAGAAGTGCCAGTGGGTGGTCCACACAGGTCAGCTGGAACTCTTAGCTTCAGAGACAAATGTATCTTCTAGTAATCACACACAAACTCCAGACTTGAGTGACACTGTGCTTTCCTACGCACTTACAATTTCAGATTACTGGAAGAGCAATCTTTAAGACAAGGATCATCCGGGTTACTGGAGCACTTTGGTTTGCCTGGCAGAGCAGGTATGGGAGGTGGCTCATCCTGCAGCACCTCTCGAGTGAAGAAGTTGCCCATGCCAGGAGACATCAGCCCCAGGGCTCTGGGATGTATGGACAGCAGCAAGGGTTCAGCATTGCTCTTATAAAAGAGGGCAGAGAAGCACTTAGAACAGTTTATCCTTTCTGGCAAAAATATGGGAGTTGACAAATACTGGATGGCAGCTTCAATATTTAATGTTGGCCATTTGTTTTCCAGCTAGAGACAACAGAATTATAGTGTTTACATACTACATGGTGAGTACAGTAATTGGCGTGACTTCAGTGACACTGCACTGCAGAAATAAAGCTGTTCTCGGCCGCTGCAGGAGGCTGGCACAGGCTGCATGGGCCTAAGTTCTTGCAGTGTACATTGATCGTGTGATCATGGTAGGGCTCCTTAGCAGTTTAGAGAAGCATGTTACAACACTTTGCTTAGGCCACCTGAATAACCAGTGTAAACCTGTCCTTGAAAGGTAACTTTTAGATGACAGGCAGTCCAGACAGTTCCATGGTCTGAAAGCAAGGCATGGTAAGGGATTGGGCAGGGCAGAGGTTTCTACATAAATGACTCTTTTAAAACTTGAGATTCCAGCCTGTTGCTGCTGTAATCCTATCTATTCAGGAGGCTGAGATCTGTGGACAAAGGTTCAAAGCCAGCCTAGGTAAGAAATCACCCAAAAGCTGGAAGTGGAGGTGTGGCTCAAATGGTAGAGCACTAGCCTTGAGCAAAAAAGCTTAGAGACAGCACCCTGAAACAGCCCCTGAGTTCAAGCTCCAGGGCTGGCACACACACAAAAAAAGGAACTTTTGATCTTGATTTTAAATGGTACAGACAACACAAGTGGACTTGTGCCTGGGAGCTCATGTCCACAAGTCTGTGCTTGAGTGAGCAGTGTGATGCGGGCTACAGTGCAAGAGCAGGACTTGTGCCCCCGGGGCCTGGAATCACCCTTCATCTGCAGGCCCTGGTTGTCTGCTGTGTGAAAGCCTGGGCTTCCAGCCTCGTGGCAGGCTATACAGGGGAGGTTTCAGAATGGTGCTCTGGTCAGAGACATTGTGTTTGGCTTAGCTGAAGCGCAGCACAAAGCAGCTGTGTGGAGCATGCCCTCGGATGGAGACCAGTGCTACAGCCCTCTAGACAGCGTCCAGCCCGACAGGAGGTACAGAACCATTACAGAGTAAGAATGCAGAAAAAGCTATTAGTACCCCAGAGCTACTAAAGCCCTCTGGGAACCTCTCAGCCTCTTGAGGACTCCGGGAGGTAGCAACCCAATGATTAGGGAAAGGCAGGGTCCTGCACAGCCCTGAGGTAATGCACATTCAGTCTCCCCAGGCTGCAAAAACTGCAGAATTGCTCTAATAGTACAGGAGGTTTAATAGTGTAAGCTGTGCTTTTAACAGGATCGGCTGGTTATCACTGGAGTGCTACATTAGTACCCTGACACAAGTTAAAACTCTAAAAAGCAAGCTAGTTAACTTTCAATACTGGAGTGCGCCTAGCTTTCTAGGTATCACTCCCACTTCTAAAGTCCACCAGAGTGGAGCTCAGAATCTGACCTTCAGTGACCTTCAGAGGTAAGAATTTGAGGAATACTTGAGTCCAAAGCCGTAATAAACAGTTAGACCATATATTCTATACTTTTAAAGTGAATTATGCATAAGTGTGCAAACTACATGACATTCTGAAGGAAAAAAAACCTTAGTATACTTTAGTATTATTACTTAAGTTATATAAAATACATCTTTATAAAAAGTACAGAGTCTGTTTAAAAAGTTTAAATTATACCCACAGAAATAGGCTCACTTATTAGTACTAAAATAAAGGATTTTCAATTTAAAGTATTGCTTAGTCCTATAAAGCCATTAGAAACCTGTAACAAGTACCAGTCCTGTTTCTCAAGGAAAATGCCCTAAAACTTAAGCTGTCACTCCCACTTTCTGCAGTTTCTCCACAGGAATGTTCTGAGCAGCTGTTGCCGCGCCGCTAACCGAGGCCAGCTCTGTCAGGATCCGCACCAGGATCGGGTGGCAGAGCCCCTGCTGGCGCCAGGAAGTTGTGGGCTTGCTGTCCCCAGTCATAGTAGTCTGGAGCAAAACTTGAGAAGAGAAACGCAGTTTAGTACTTAGAGCCGCACACTCAGAATGAGGGCAGGTCTGTGTGAACCCCACATGGTCCTCCAGGCTGGCTTCTTGAGGCCAGCCACGCCTTGACTGCAGCATGCCCACAGCAGGCCGTGGTGTGAGCAGGACTGAAGCCAGCTTCTGCAGGGCAGTTCTTCCCTACAGACTACATTGTAACACTACATTGTAGCTGGTATAGGGCTGCCTGAACACCTGGTACTTTAACAGACAGCACTCAGTGCCTTAAGGTTCTCTCAGTCCTTCCCTACCCCAGAGGGGGTGGGCGTGGGGGGCCTTCTCAGCTCTACATCACTGCTGGCTGGTGAAGGAAGGGCTGCTTCAGAGGGGCAAGCATGGCTAATGGGAAATTCAGTGCTGTGGTGAGTGAAAGACTGGGAACTGGTGACTCACACCTGTAATCCTCAGGAGGCTGAGATCTGAGGATCACGGTCCAAAGCCAGCCCAGGCAGGAAAGTCTAAGTGACTTACCTCCAACAAATGACCAAAAAAAAAAGCCAGAAGTGGAGCTGTGGCTCAAGTGGTAGAGAACTAGCCTTGAGCAAAAACAGCCCAGGGACAGCACCCACGCTCTGACTGAGCTCAAGCCCCATGACTAACACACATTTTCCAAGTTGGGGTGGGGGGGAAAGGTGCACACCTGTACACTCTACCACCTGAGCTACAGTTCCACTTGGGCTTCTTGCTGGGTAACGAAAGGTAAGGAAGTCTCACAGGCTTTTCTGCTCTGGCTGGCTTTAAGCCACAATCCTCAGATCTCAGCCTCCTGTGATGCCAGGATGATAGGTGTGAGCCACCGGTGCCTGGTTAAAGACTGCTTTTTAAACTACCGTCTGCATGGCACGGCTGTGGTACTGTTGAGGAAACACTTCTGCACAACAGTGCTGGCGGAGGTCTCTAGGAATCTCAGGTCCGTCCCTTCTTCCTGAGTGTTTCACAGAGACTGGCTGCTGCCCCAGCCCCACACGTGTGTTGTGGTGCCGTTCTCTGCCCATGGCGGGGGGGGGGGATGGTGCCTGTCCTACCTTCCCTGAAGTCCCTGAGGTGCGATGTTCCAGGCAAGGTCGTCGTCACTGTCATATCTTCGAGGGTTGTCAAAGAAGTAAGATCGGGGACTGAATCCGTGGCTGGGGACCATCGTTGGGCTGGACTGCAAAGACGGGTCAGTGAGTGCGCTGCAGGGATGCAGGCGTCCCTCACAAGGGAGGTCACCCCGGAAGGTGCTGCTGCCTCCCCACAGTCACTTCTGGGTTGAGAGGGACTAAGATACCCTTTTATCAGCGTGGACACCATCTGTCAGACTGCTTTTAGTCCCTGAGAATGCCCCCAGTTAGCCAGAGTAGAGGGTTCTATTGGAACTAGATGTTTTTTTTTTTTTTTTTTTTTGTCAGTCGTGGGGCTTGAACTCTGGGCCTGGGCGCTGTCCCTCAGCTCTTCAGCTCAAGGCGAGCGCTCTACCACTTGAGCTACAGTGCCACTTAGAGGGTTCTATTGGGTATATTGTGTAACCGTGGGTGTTCATAAAGGAGAAGATAGGCTGGTGTGGGGGAGATTCTCCTCCCATTTCCACCCTCTGCCCTCTTGTGATCCTTTCCTCCTGCTTCTGCCCCCAGTCTGAACTCACTTCAGAACTTCCAAACGGGGCAAGGGCAGCGCCAGCCACTGCCAGCTTTCTCACCAAGGCCAGAGGCCAGCCTAGGACTCACCACCCACCCCAGTCCAGCCATCTGCTGTTCCCGGCTCACTAGAGATTGTCCAGAGAGACTAAGGAGAAACAGCATGTCGGTTCCCATCTGGGTCCAGGACAAGGGAAGGACAACATGTTCACACGCGGCCCAGCGCCCCTGGCCTTCCTGCCTCTGCAGATCAGGGTGTCCTGGCTGCACTGGCTCGGGCGGGGGTGGGGGGGGGTGCAGGGGGTCATCCGTGGAGCTGTGCCCTCAGGCCGCTGCCTCATTCCACCTGGGTTTGCATTCTCCACCCTGTCCCTCCCCCCCCACAGAACACTTCATGTCAACTGGGTTGAAATGTCAAGCGATGGGGCAGGGAGCAGGGACTGACTGCCTCTCAGAGTCCCTGCTGAAGTCACACCCAAGTACTACGAGAGACACCTCACATCCCTTCCTTCTAAAACAAGGGGAAACACATCGCCCTGAAAAGGAGTCAAGGAAACATCTTGGTACTGAGTTCCTGTATGCAATTGCAGAGGCTCCACTGAGAAGCAGGGATAAGAGCAAGCCCTCTGCTACGCGAGACGGGGTACTTACAAGGTCCTTTGCAGGATTTCTAACTCGGAAGAAGTAAACGACCAAGGTGGTGGGCAAGAGTTCCCACACAAAGAGCACCACTCCAAACACCACATAGCCGGCATCGCCCAGCTGGTTCTTCAGGTCTGCCTGTTGGCCAGAGGGGGACAGGGAGTTGCTGGACCGGAGCAGAGGAAGTATGTTCGAGTAACCCACACAGTTTCAACATGGCACAGCCCCTTTCCCCTAAAATGCACATGTTGAAACCCCCTAACAAACTTTCCAGGCCTTGGAGGGTTAAGAACCGTATAGGAGCGGGGCCCTGGTGGCTCACACCTATAATCCCACCTACTCAGGAGGCTGAGATCCAAGGATCAGGGTTCAAAGCCAGCTCAAACAGGTAAGTCCGTGAGACACCCTTATCTCTAACTATAAAAAAGACAGAAGTGGAGCTGTGGCTCAAGTAGTAGAGTGCTAGCTAACCTGAGCACAAAAGCTCAGGGACAACACTGAGTTCAAGTTCCATGTCCAACCAAAAGGAGGAAAAAATACTCAAAAGACGGATGTTGTTACTTTACCCTACCTCTGACGCTTCCGAATATCCAAATTAAGCTGAGTTTTATTTTCTTCAACAACCAAAAAATGTCTTGATCCAAATCTCAGCCTCCCAAGTAGCTGGGATGACAGACATGAGCCATTGCACCTGCACTGGAAGTCACTAAGTACTACTTAACAAGAGCTTCAAGGGGATGGGGAAGTGAGGTATTTGCACATGCGCCTGTGTGCACACACACACCTAGGTTTCTTAGAATAGGTGAGCAGGAAGGAGAGCCGCCCTGGCCCCAGCTGACGAGGCGGTGATGGAGCCAGCCGTCACCCTGCACCTCTACACGGGAGCAAGGTGCTTGGCTTACCCCTCCGCCATGGACCATGCCCCGGGGCGAACGTTGCATCCAGGCGCCCCGCGGCCCCCACTCACCTGGTCGGATACGTTGTACCAGTCATAGTCAAAGGAGTGGGCGTTCTTGATTTGAGAGAAGGACAAGATGACCAGGTTGTAGCAGGCTCGCGAGGTGTACAGCAGGATGACGGTGACCCCGACGGCTGTCACCTGACACACGGAGGAGCCCTGGAAGAGACGGAGGCAGGGGTGGGCCACTCCAAGTCACCGGGCCCTTCCCTGTCCCTCCCTTGGTGCTGCGCGCTGAGGGCCCGTACGTGCTCGCCCCTTCCTCGGGGTCAGCTGTCTTCCTGCAGGCACTGTGCTAGAGAAGACCCCTTTACTACAGGTAAAAAGTGGGCCCTTTGCCCAAGACCAAGATTTAATCCGGGAAGTCAGGGGGTTTGTCTGGTCAACTCCACTGTCCTCCAGCGCATGCGTTCCAGGTGTGTGGCTTGGGGTGCATTTGCAGAACTGTGGGTGGGACACGGGTGGGTGTGGGCCTCCCTCACCGCCCAGAGCTTTATCTTGGGAAGGGAGGCCTGTGGAAACTTGGTGACTCACATCCCCTCCTCATAAAAGTGGTCAATTTCAGTGAAAGGCCTCTGTTGTCTAGAAACGGATAGTGATGTTGACCAAAGAAGCTGAAAGGACTTTGAGTCATGCTGGTGGGAGTCATTACCCGAGTGCGAGGAGCTTGGCTCTGCCCGTTCCCTGCTGGCCGCGGGCATTCTGACAATGTGGGCCTTAACCCTCCTGTCCATGGGAACAGCTGGGGTCCATGAAGAGCTGGCGCGGCCTCTACAGGGGAGAGGTGGGGCTCGGAGACGGATGAGGCAGAAGCCAGCACAAAGCCTCAGCATTTTCGAGGAAGAACTCTGCACAACTAACTCCTGGGCTTTGGGGCTGCAGCCCAGTGTCCGGTGTGGGCTCTGGGTTCCAAAGCTCTCAACAGATTTCATCTGGTGGACACTCTGAGCGCCGCTGCCTGAAATCCTCCTTCAGAGCCACAGAGGACCAGGGGCACAGAGGGAGGGAGGCGACCCATGCCCAGGGGTAAGAGCCAGGCAGCGCCCCACTGCTCAGCAAGCCCTGCTCCGGGTCGCCACCTGCTGGTGAGGGACGGAGGCGACCGGCCACGCAGCTCTGCGTGCATCTTTGCCCTTCTCTGTGGCTCTGGGGAGGAGAAGGGAGACCGTGGAGCACAGGCCAGGGCATGGCTGTGGGAGGAGCAGATGAGCTTCCTGCTAGCTCCCTGTGCAGGAGGCCTCGGGCTTGGGAGGCTGCTACGGTGGGGTAAGCCATGGGCCATGAACTTGAACCTGAGCATCGACAACCACGGATGCTGATGGCAGTGTGACAAGTGTCTTGACCTCTCCATGCCTCAGTTTCCCTGCCTGCCCCCCCCCCCCCCCCGGGTCTATGAAGATTACCTCAGTTGATCAAGAAGCAGGGCCAGAGTCAGTACTAGATGCGTGGTGGCCACTACAACCCCAATGGTGCTTTAAAATCCGGGGCAAATAGCCAGCGCCTGACCAGGATGGAACCCCGCCAGGGGTTTGCACACGACACGGGGCCATCAGAACACGTCTTGCACGTGAAGCTCAGCGAAGGATGCAACACGCACAAAACGCCCCCGGCAGAGGACGGAGAGAGAGCAGGCGGCGCAGCAGGGACCTCACCTCCTTCCCACTCACCTTGGACTCCAAGTAGATGTTGGCTAAGGACATCTTGGAGATTTTGTAGAGGCAGATGGAGAGCGAGATGGCACACAGCACGAAGAGCGTGTCATTGATGGCCACGCGCACGGACACGATCACCTTCCTCTCCCAGTGTCCCGTCTTCACCAGCAACGCGCAGGTCAGGTTCACCAGCAGGAAAATGAGGCTGATGAAGATCGAGGCCAGGTAGAGGGGCAGCCTGAGCGGTGGGGAGAAGGAAGGGGAGAAGGGTCATGTCATGCTCCTTGCAGGTAGTCTAGAAGGAAGCTGTGACATGCTTTGGTTAACTACTAGAGTAAGAGCTGCTTTTCAGCGGTAGACGGTCACAGATCCAAGGTACCGTCCACAAATTGTGCCTTGGAACATCCTCCATGAGGTTCCCGGGGCGGGGGGGGGGGGGGGGGGGGGGGGGTGCTAAGCCCTCACGTGTGGGCCAGCTCCCCGGAGAACACACTGACTGCCCCGAGTACAAGAACCATGACATCAGTCTGTGCAGGCCAGTGTTTCCATTACTGAAAGTAAGACTGCAGGACAGACTTACCCAACAGCATAAGATGGAATGAGGTCATGCAGTTAGCAACCCCCAGAATTAGGGCTCTGCACCCCACTCACATCCAACCAGCTAAGGGTTAAAACTTTTTTTCCCTAGTACTAGTATTGGGGTTCTCGCTTGGCCATTTTACCCAAAGCTGGCCCTCTACCACTTGAACCACACTTCCACTTCTGGCTTTTTGGTGGCTACTTAAACAAGCTCACAGTTTTTTTCTGCCCTGGCTGGCTTCAAACCCTGATCCTCAGATCTCAGTCTCCCGAGTAGCTAGGATTACAGGTGTGAGCCACTGGTGCCTGGCTCCAAAACTAATTTCTAATTATCTCAGTCCTGAACAGACAGACTTCTTTCTTGTCATTATTTTCCAAGTGAGACAGTGTAGCAAGTCTTTCCACAGTATGTACACTGTATCAGGGGATCTAGGCATCACTTGCAAATCCCGGACCATATGTGGATCCCCAGAGCTGAGGGCCAAGCTGGTGGGCAGCTTGTGTCCACTGGTTGAAGTGGTCTCTGCCTGCCTACTTGGCTGTTTGCCACCTGCACTGCTGCATCTGTGTGTGGTCAGCCCAGTCTCCTCTGACTTCTAACCTGGAAGCTCATCCTCTTAAGTGTCCCATGTTACACCTAACTTAGACCTCACTCAACAGCCAGCTTAAGGCTGGACTAGACTGGTTTAACTTGAATATGTTTGTAACCCAAATCAGAGAGCAGTAAATTATGGACTAAAAGGGTCTTGTTTGTTTTTTTTTTAATGCCAGCCCTCTTGACCTCAGGGCCTGGGTACTACCCATGTGCACTTTTGATCGAGACTAGCACTCTACCACTGGAACCATAGCTCCACTTCTGGCTTTTTGTTGGTTAACGGGAGCTAAGAGTCTCACAGACTTTTTTGCCCATACTTTCTTTCATACAGGAGATCCTCAGATCTCAGTCCTGAATAGCTAGGATTATAGGTGTGAGCCACCAGCACTGGGCTGCATTAACAGCCTTCTCCTACTGCAACTAAACTCTCTGCTTCAAGAGGGGACCCGGCGTACACAGTACTCCAGCCAAACCCTCGTCCTTCTACCAAGACCCTTGGATACAGTATGCACCCTATTATCCCCATCTTCTTCCTCCCTGGTGAGGCTGTGAACCCTTACCCCATAGGGGGGGAAGCGGCCCACTGAGGGAAGCAGAGAAGCAGGCAGCTCCTTGGTGCAGTAACTTATCCCTGGTCCCTTTGTGTCCCTTTCTCCGCTTCCAGTCCATCATGGTTCACTGAAACCATGAGACAGAATAAACCCTTCCACTCTGCCCACATCAGGGACTGGGCCACAGGGAGAAGAAAAGCAACTAATATGGGCTTGGAGCTTTTGTCTCTAAAAGGAAAACCCCCGGATCCCCTTGTACTTCAATGAGCTGACCCTCCCGGGCAACAGGGACAAGGCTGGCACTCAGGACCATGGTGGGGCTCGCAGAGGAGAAGAGGAAGCGGGTGCCTGCGAGAACGGTGCCGGGCACTCACCGGTATTTCAGTAATTCTGGAGAATACTTGGACTTGGCTTTGAAAATCACCTGCAACGAGAGAAAAGCATGCAGGGTGGGTCCCGTGCAGGGGACCCTGCACACCACCCCTGCGGTCATCTGGAATCCCTCTGCCCAGGCCCCTGGGCACCGCACTCCTCCTCCAGAGCCACATCTGGGAAGCTCTGTGCTGTGCAAACGGGTGTTTTTGTATTTGGGGTGTTTTATTTAAGCTGGGTGTTTAAATGTATTTGAAAATGAATTAAAAAGAAAACAAAACCCGAGAGTACTAACCTACAACACATAGCCCACCTCTGTCCCCAGCTTGTCACCGGCACCAAGCCCACTGGGTTGGAAGGTTACGTGTCCTCGATGCCAGCCACAAACTCTGCAGTATATTTAAAACAATCAAAAGCTTTTGAAGCCAGGTGCTGGGATTCACACCTGTAATCCTAGCTACTCAGGAGACCTGAGGATCAAGGATCAAAGCCAGCCCAGGCAGGACAACCCATAGACTTGTATCTCCAATTGACCCGCAAAAAGCAGCAACTGGAGCTGTGGCTCAAGTGGTAGAGCACTAGCCTTGAGCAAAAAGAGCTGAGGGGCAGTGCCCAGGTCCTTAGTTCAAGCCCTGTGAATGGCACACCAAAAAAGTTGGAGATGGCAATTTCTCAACGGCCTCAGAACTCAGCACAACTGTGGAAGTGCCTGCGTGGGGTGGGTGGATGTGGCAGCCTGGTGTGGCTCAAGTGGCTGAACACTAGCTTTGAGCACAAAAAGCTCAGGGACAGTACCCAGGCTCTGAGTTCAAGCCCGAGAACCTGCATCAAAAAAAAAAAAAAAAAAAGGTCTACACATTAGTACTTGTCTGTCCTGGCTTATTTAGCCTAAGATTCTCCAGATCAGTGAGAATGAATACTATGTCCAGCTCAGAAATCTGCTGGGTGGATCTTAAAGGTTCTGGTGCTTGAAGCGGGGGCGTGGCTGCCCCCTTCCCTCTCCCCAATCCATGGGTTGTCCATAAGCATGGAAGGGCATGGCTGCACCTGTGGTGGGTGTGCCATTAGCATGGAGGGGCGTGGCTACGCCTGTGGTGGGTGTGTCTATTAGCATGGAGGGGCGTGGCTACACCTGTGGTGGGTGTGTCTATTAGCATGGAGGGGCGTGGCTACGCCTGTGGTGGGTGTGTCTATTAGCATGAAGGGGTGTGGCTGCACCTGTGGTGGGTGTGTCCATTAGCATGGAGGGGCGTGGCTGCACCTGTGGTGGGTGTGTCCATTAGCATGGAGGGGCGTGGCTGCACCTGTGGTGGGTGTGTCCATTAGCATGGAGGGGCGTGGCTGCACCTGTGGTGGGTGTGTCCATTAGCAGGGGATGCTCCCAGGTATCAGAATGTCAGAGTCACCTTGAACCTACACAACTCTTGTCAGTTATGTCCAACAGAGGTGGAAAGAACTTGTGTTCAAAACCTAAAGCTGCCCCTGGGTCTCTCCTATGACCCTGGCCCACGTCTCCCCCGAACCTCACGGTCCCCCCCACCCTCACCATCCCCCAACCCTGGTGCCTCTCCATGACCCAGGGTCCTTCTAGTGACGCAGGAGAACCCCTGGCTGATGCCAGCATGACTCAACCCTCGGCTTCCTCCTCCATAAATCACTGCCCACCCCTGAACTCCCAAGGCCTTGGTCTGTTCCCAGCTCGAGCTCCAGCTGGGTTCCCAAGGCTCGCTCTGGTTTTTCCCAATGCCACACTGGCTGCTGCGAGCAGAATCATCCCACACTAATCTGTGGAGTCACAACATCCCTCTCACCACCCCACACAAGAAATCCCTGTGGTCCCCGGGTACATACAGGTCTGCGACTACAGGAAGCACTCTACTGCCCCACCCAGACTTGGTGTAACATCCTGCTTCCTACACCCTAGCAAAACATGATCCGCTGGGAGGCGCCACTGCTGTGCCAGCCTTCCAAGCCCCATAGAAGAAGACAGACTGGGGAACACCACACTGTCCCCACCACAGCAGCCTCCTGCTACACGCATGGTCCTGCCAGCGGGCTGAGACAACTGGTAGACCTTCCCAGTAAGTGTGAAGTTCAAAATTGCCAACACCAAGCACAGACTCAAGACCAAAGAGCCTCAAGCAGTACAACGCCAGCCCCGAGCAGAGAAGCCTGAGGGGATGGTGCCCAGGCCCTGAGTTCAAGCCCAAGATATTAGCACCAGAAAAACAAAAAAAAAGTGAGTCTGGAGCTGCCCCACTAGGGCTTAAATCTGGCCTCTACCAATGGTCAGCTGTGTGACATTGGAGTAGCCCCCTGACCTCTCTGTGCCTATCAATAAAACATGCCAGTGGCCATCTCCTGTGTGTCCACAGCTCAGGTAAACACTGCCACCTGGTAGGGGCTGGGTCAGGTTCACTGGGGAAGCGTGCAAACCTCGGTTGTATACACACAAGCACCACCGGCCCGGGATCCCTGCCGACCATAAAAGGAACTCAACCGGCACCAAGGTGAGAAGCCACCTAGCTCACTGCTCACTCCAGGCCGTGCCCTGCCCACGCTGCCCACTTCCACAGCCCCTGCTGTGGAAACTACGTGCCCCCTGACCCCGGTCCACACTAGAAGCTCCGATGTGTGGAAGGACAAAGGGAACACGGCCCGTCCAAGCTCCAGTGCTGCTCCGGACTCCCAAGCCCCGCCCCCAGACTCAGGACACCAGCGTGAAGCCCACTCTCCAGCGTGGGCTCGGGGCGGCCTCCCAGGAGCACAGGGTTATGTTTGAGATGGGGCCTTGCCACCTGTCCACGCGCGTGCCTCGAGTGAAATCCTATTTTTATTTATTTTTGCTTCCTTGAAGCTAGGATAACAGGCTGGGCCCCAAACCCAGCTCCTTCCACGGAGATGGGGTCTCAAGGACTTTTCTACTTAGGCTTGCCAGGATCCATAATCCTCCCAACCTCAGTTACCCAAATAACTAGGATTACAGACCTGAGTCACTGCACTGGCTGACCACCTCACATGCTGACACTGCATTCTGACACCACCACACCCCAGCAGCTGTGGCCGGCTTCATTTCTGTTAATACCTTACCTGAGCACCTGAGGCGGGTGACTCCCTCCATGTGTCTGTCAGCAGTACATACCTCCAGGTGATCGGAGAGTTAAAGGAGGGACTAATTACCAATTGGCTTGTGGCTACCGGTGACAATCAGCAGTGCCTGGCAGATTAGTGCCAATGAAACTGAAGTTGCCTTGTGAATTTGTCATTCAACAAACTCTGACATGTGGAAAGACACAACTGTGTCTCTGACACAGGTCACTTACAAAGACAGGACGGAAGCCTCATGTAAAAAATACCCGGGTAGGAGGAAGACAGAGTCCATGCACACCTTCCCAAGGGTGGGGCCTGGGGCCGGGGCACGGTGCCCCCTACAGGATGGGAGATCACACAGCACAAGGAGGCGTGCCAGGCATAAAGGATGTGACAGCAGAGAAAAGTATCCTCCACCTCTCACTCCTTCCCCCAAACTCCTGCCCCTTCTCCTCCCCCACGTCCAGCCTCAGGACCCACTTCTTGGACAGCTCCCAACCCTGCTCAAGTCTCTCAATGCTTTAACCTCCTGGCCTAAGGCCTCTGAGTCATGGCTCCCTGTGGACGCTCTGTCCCATGGACACTTTGAATCAGCCCACATGAATCTGAGTCACGTCCCTGTGCTCCCGCATCTCCCCAACTGCATCCGAAATCTGCTTCACTGAGTCCTGTATGTACCTTGTAGCCCTCTAAATTTGTGGGTGTGCGTGCACACACACACACACACACACACACACACACACACACACACACACAGACTTGAAGTCATGGACTCACACTTCCTTAGCTTTTATGTTCGTGGCATTCTACCTCTTGAGCCACACCTCCACTTTCAGATTTTTGCTGCTTCTCTGGAGATAAGAGTCCCACGGATTTTCCTGCCTGGGCTGGCTTTGAACCGAGATCCTCAACCCCCTGAGTAGCTAGGATTACAGGCGTGAGCCACCGGTGGCTGGCTTTCAAATCTTAAAATTCAGAAAAGAAGGTACTGCGTTAGGATCTGAGTGTATTTGCCCACTGTAAGAGATTTCAAATAGGACTCCATCAACACAAGCCTCACACTGAAATGTGGGTGTGAATCCTCCCTCCTCCAGGCCCCTGAGCAAGTCATCAACGCCTTAGAGCCTCCTTTCTGCTCTGGAAGATGGGATGGTTCTCCGGACTTCCTCAGAGGTTGTAAGGCATAAGGACAAAACACTCAGATGGGTGCCTAGCATGCAATGTGCATGTGTGTATGTGTGTGTGAGAGAGAGAGACAGAGACAGAGACAGAGAAGAGATCGAGACAGAGCCACCTCCAGGGTACAGGCAATATGGATCAAGGACATCTGTATGCTCAACCCAAGAGCTCTAACATGCCTCTACCCTGAGACTTGGCTTTCCAGATAAGATCTTACTGTTACTTTTACTTTGTCTTTCAGATAGGGCCTCCCACTGGCTCCCAGGCAAAGATCCACCTCTGCTTCCCAAGGAGCTAGAATTACAGATATGTATCCCTCACATACCTTGCACTCAGCCACTTGAACTATGACCCCAACCTGTTACTTTTTGTTTCTGAAACAAAGGCTCAGTACCTTCTCCTAAACTGGCCTTTACTTCACTCTTTGGTCCTGGAACTTGAACTCAAGGCCTGGACACTGCCCTTGAGCTTTTTGTGCTCAAGGCTAGCGCTCTACCACTTGAGCCACAGCTCACTTCTGGCTTTTTTTTGTGGTTAATTGGAGGTAAGGGTTTCATAGTCTTTTCCTGCCCAAGCTAGCTTTGAACCACAATCCTCAGATCTCAGCCTCTAGAGTAGCCAAAATTATATGTATGTGCCACCGGTGCCTAGCCTGAGTCAACTCTTGACCTCCCTTCAAGCAGCTACACCCCCATCCCCCAGAGCAGTGCTACCTCCCTCTAAACTCCAATTTACTCAGGCTGAGACCAAGCCCAGGCAGTTAGTCATTGTTGAGGGTCCCTATTCTGGGGGCTCCCAGCGGCCCAGAACCCTGGTGATGGCACTTTGGGCTGAATCACGCCTCTGAAGAACCAGAATTCTTGTAAGCCAGAAATGACTGTTCCGTGCTAACTTCTGCCAGCCTCAAGCTCTCCTCTGGTGAAATGCAGTTTGCTGAGGCACCTGCTGATGGGGCCGCATTCGGAGGCCAGAGGCTCTGTCTGCCTGCTCAGCAGTTACACACCAACCAGCAGATGGTGCAGAAAACCCTCACCAGACTTTAATCCAGCTCTAAGTTCAGGATTTACATGGGATTAACCACAAAGCCATGCCAGTCCCTGAATTTGTCCTTTGAGTCCTCAAAATGGGGACATGGGCAAAGCCATGACGCGTGACCACTGCCAGTTCTTGAGGTGACACGGACTCACTAGATTTCTATATCATGCTCAGCCAACCACTGCAACCCCAGGACAAGGCCCAGGGTCCCTACAAGGCAGCCTAGAGCGGTTTGCAAGATATCAAAGTAGAATCAGGCTCATGGGGGGGGGGGGGGGCAGGGGGCGGCCCTCACTGGAGAGCCAAGCCCTCTCCAACTGACCACCAAAAAGCTGCACGTGGTAGAATGCCAGCTTTGAGCAAGAAGGCTCAGGGACAGCGCCCAGGCCCTGAGTTTAAGTCCCAGGACTGGCGTGCATGTGTGGATGTGCGTGTGCATGTGTGTGTGCACAGTAGTACTAGACAGACAACACTCGTTACTCCTGTTGGAAAGCACACCCACCCAGAGTCTTCCCTGCGCATCAACTCCTTTAACATCCCTGATCTCCTCGCCACGACACTTGCTATCTTTCCACCAAAAGCACTTCCTCCTGTTTGCAGGCCGCGGCTCCCACTCCACTGGAGAGGCCGCGCTGATGCGGACGGGCCGGCTCACGACAGGCATCGGGGAGACGCTTTTAACCACCTCGTTTATTAAGTCCACGGGCCCACGCCACCACCGGCCCACGAACGCCGGGCGCCCCCGCGGGAGCGCATCTGCCGGCAGGAGAGGAGCCCTGGCGGGTTCTCTCGGCTCTCCTCGGGCCAGCCCCGCCTGCGGCAGCTGGGGAGCTGCGTATGCCCCACGCGCACGCATGCACTATGCATATGCTCACACACCACGCGCACAACAATGCGATACACTACACATGCACGCGCCACATGTGCATAACTATGCATGTGCACACGCGTATGCGCCACGTACACGCGCACAACAATGCGATACACTATACATGCCTGCGCAGGCTCCACATGCGCGTAACGACCCATATGTGCACACACGCATGCGCCACATGCCCGCGCCACGTGCACATACCCCATGCCTGTGCACACACGCGCACGCCACATGCCCATGCACAGCACACGCAACACACTACACATGCACGCGCAGGCGCCACATGCGCATACACTACACATGCACACACATGCCACATGCACGCGCACACCACATGCAATACACCACACATGCACGGGCCACATAATGCACGCATCATACATGCACTCCCGCACCCACACATCACATCCACGCGCACGCGCACACGGCGCGCCTGGTGGGAGGTGGACGCTGGCAGGACAGCCGGCCCCACGGCCAGACGTGGGAACTTCTCCCCGGACCCGAGCCGGTCGCTGCCCAGCGCAGCCCACCGCACCCGGGAACCGGCGGCGCGCGGCACCCCAGGCCGGGGCTCGGGCCAGGGCCGGGCAGGCGGAGGAACCGGGAGCGTTCGGGGCATCCAGGCCGAACGCGAAAGGGCGCAGCGGGGCGCCGTGCTGAGGCCCCGCAAGTGTCCGGCCCTGACACCTGGGGGACCGAGGGGGTCCCCGGGAGACGGGCCCGCAAGGGGCTCGGAGGACCCCGGGACCTAGGCCCCGGCCTCGGAGGGGACCTCGCCCCCCCCCCGGCCCGCGGGCCCCCGCGCACCTGCGCGAAGTAGAGGTTCATGAGCGTGAGCGTGAAGAACTGCAGGCACACGGGCAGGCAGTAGAGCAGCCAGAAGACGAAGGGGCCGAGCGCGTTGGCCGCCACGAAGTCCCGGAAGTAGAAGGAGAAGAGCACGGTGCGCAGCGAGGCCCAGAGCAGGCACAGGAAGAGGAAGACGCTGCGGTAGCTCAGCCGCTTGTGGCCATGGCGCAGCGCCAGCCACAGCTGCGCGTACACGAAGGCGAAGAGCAGCGCGTAGAAGGCGGTGTAGACGGCCGTGAGCCCCAGCGTCACGTCGGGGGGCACGGCCGGCGTCAGCGTCGGCGGCTGCGAGCCGTTGCGCGCCGGCTCCCGGGGCGGCGCCGCCATCGGGCCGGGGGCGCGCGGGCCTCATCGGGGCTCGCCGTCGCCGGGATCCCCGCGCCCCGCCATCCGCCCGCTGCCGCCGCCGCCCGCAGCCCAGGAGAGAAAACAAGCCGCACTTCCTCCCGCCGCACCACATGATGCACGGGGCGGCCTTTGTCTGCGATTGGCAGCGCCGCGCCCCCGGCCCGCGCGCCCGCGCCCGCCGCAGCCCGCCCCGCGCAGCCCCGCCCCGCGAGCCGGGCCCTTGTGCCCGCGCAAGCCCGCTCCGCCCGCTGCAGACCCGCGCGCCCGCGCACAGCATCGCCCCGCCCCCTGCGGGCCCGCGCACAGCATCGCCCCGCCCCCTGCGGGCCCGCGCACAGCATCGCCCCGCCCCCTGCGGGCCCGCGCACAGCATCGCCCCCGCCCCCTTCAGACCCGCGCGCCCGCGCACAGCATCGCCCCGCCCCCTGCGGGCCCGCACACAGATCGCCCCGCCCCCTTCAGACCCGCGCGCCCCGCGCACAGCGTCGCCCCGCCCCCTGCGGGCCAGCGCACATCCCGCCCCGCCCCCTGCAGACCCGCGTGCCCGCGCCCAGCTCCGGCCAGTCCGATGCCGCGCGCCCCCCAACGCGCGCCCCCGCGGCTGGGCAGGGCGCTGTGCGCCCCCCGGCCTGGAGCAAGCCTCGCTGGCTCGCCCCTTACTGAAGAACAAAGCCACAGCAAGCTGCCTTTCCCTTCAAACTAAACGTGCACGAGCCACGCGCGGGCACGAGGCCGCGGGGGCGCGCGCAGGCAGGCCAGGATGGCCCGCGGGCCCCGGGCCCCACTCGGCGCCTGTTGTCCGGGGCTCTGCTTCTTCCCGGCAGAGAGCTTGACTCGGTTTACCCCCGCGCGCCACACCCCGCGAGCGAGGCACCGCCCCAGCCCTGGTCTGCCGCTCCCCCCAGCCAGGGCAGGCTAGGAACGGGGTGTCTCCCCAGCGTCCTGCCCTGTGGTCACCCAGGCCTGTTGGAGCGAGGCGCATCTAGTGGACCCTTGCCCCCAGTTGACCCTTGTCTCCGGTCACACTGCAGACAACACGGCTGTAGTTCCGCACACTGAAGCAGAAGCCCCGGCTCTCAGCGTTCTCCTGCGGGGTGCTCGCCACAAGACCAACCCCGGGATGCAGAGTGGCTCCTGGCACTCCAGCCATCATGCCCACCTTCCAGGCTGGCGCGTGGCAGAACACAGGCGGGCTAAGGGCACCTGTCCTGTCCTTTCCCACAGCACTGTCCCGGGCACAGCACATTTCCACCTCCCTTGGAAGAAGAACCTCACCTCAGTAAGCTCGCTAGGAGAGAACATGGAAACCGCTGCCTATTTTGTGCGGTCTTGAGCACAACTGAAAGTCTTGCCTCTGCTTTTTTTTTTTGTGGACTAAAGGGAGGGTGGATTTCAGGAGAACCTGACAGTCTTTGCCACACCTGCAAAGGAACCCAGAAAGAATGCCAGGTGTGGTAGGCCCCTACCCTGGGTGGCAGAGGCAGTATATGTGAGTTTGAGGCCTGAGCGACAGTGAGACACCCCCCGCCCCAGCCCCCTTAGATTTTAAACAGAAAAAGATCCATAAAAGTAAAAAAATAGCAAATTGCCTGGATAGCCCACCTCTTTGACCGGCCAGGATCAAACGTACTTCTCAACATCCTTACAACTCTAAAACCCAAGATAACACCCAGGGGTTCCCGTCACACACGGGGTAACACGGGACCCCTGGATGAGTGAGAAGCCATGCCCTCCTCTCCCACAGATCCCCTGTCTCATGATCCAACTTGAGATCTGCCCCTCCTTGGCTCCATGTGGAAAAGCAGAGGAATGGGGATAGGAGCACGCGCTTAAAATAGCCACCAGAACAGGGGTGCCACAGCGGGGAGGAAACACAAGCAGAAGTTCTCTTGTTTTGCAACGAGTCACGAGGCTGTAATTGCTGGGTGTGACTCCTCTCCTTAATCCCTAATGACCCTGCCCATGGTTGACTGCCCCTCCCTGCCTGCTTTCAGTGGGGATCCACCTCCAGGCCTTGCTCCTTCTAGGCAAGGCTGCCCCCCCTTCCGGTTCGCAGGCATCTCCACGGGTCAGAGCACCCTCCTTTCCCCGTGGCCGCTGGGCTCGCCAGCAGCCAGAGGCAGGTGCCACCACAGCAGGTGTTTCACGAGGAGCCCACTGGCGTGAGGAGTCAGACGCTGACTCTCGCTCTCGTGTGTGTTCAAATCCCTGCCTGCCAGCCCAGAGGAACAGCAGAGACATCGGTGAAGGAACAGAAACCACGGAGCGGTGTCATCCTCTCGGTGACCCGTTTCCTGAGTGACGCAAAGCATCGTATCCGGGCTTCAGGTTCAGAGGAGGTTCTGAACAACGTAAAAGGCGGGAGGATTTAGTTGGCTGGTAGTTTTCAGGGATTCCGTGGGTGTGGGGGGTAGCCTGGTCCCAGGTGGTGGGACCATATGAGGGGAGTTAGTGTGTGTATGTGTGTGTGTGTGTGTGTGTGTGTGTGTGTTGGTCCTGGGGCTTACTCACGACCTGGGTCTGTCCTGAGATTTTTGTGGTCAAGGGCGGAGCTTGCCACTGGAGCCACAGCTCTACTTCCAGCTTTTTGTGGTTGATTGGTGATAAGAGTCCTGAGGACTTTCCTACCTGAGCTGGCTTTGAACTTCAGTCCCTCAGACCAGCCTCCTCAGTAGCTTACATATAAGCCACCAGCACCTAGCGATGGCCGTTTGTTCATTTGTCAGTTTGTTTTTACCTTATGGCAGACAGAAAGCAGAGAGGGGAACAGGAAGGGACCAGGTATAAATCTTCAAGTCCATTTAGGCCCTACCAATCAAAGTGACTAGAAATTTCCAAAATGGCTCCACTCACCGGGGACCAAGCCCGCAATAGCGGAAATCGTGGGAGACAGTTCACATTGGAACGGTAGAACTAGCTCTCCAGGCTTTGTCTCCCAGCAGGCACCATCACCAAGTCTGAAATGGTCGTATTTTCCCTCTTCTTAAAAAGGCAGCTGCTAGGGCTGGGAAGGTGGCTCAGTGGTAGAGCACTTGCCTTGCATGCCTAAGGCCCTGGGTTCCATTCCTCAGCACCACATAAGCAAAAAGAAAAAAGCCAGAAGTGGCGCTGTGGCTCAAGTGGTAGAGCGCTAGCCTTGAGCTGAAGAGCTGAAGGACAGCGCCCAGGCCCAGAGTTCAGGACCCACGACTGGACCCAAAAAAATAAAAAAATTTAAAAAATAAAAATAAATAAAAAGACAGCTGCTGCCAAGGGGCAAAGTGAGCCCACCCCATTTCTTCTCCAGGTCTGCCCTGAGTCGGGGCCTCAGAATATCAGGAGCACGGGTGGGCTCGGGGTCGGCCTGTTGGGCTGCTGTGGCACCAGCTGAGTCACCGGCTTCCAATCGTAGACACTGAGGTGCTCCAACAGCGCCTGTCACAGGCCCACACCATCCATGGAGGTGACCCCACTCAAGCCCCAGGCCTCTCCCTGGAGGAGGTGGCATAAGGTGTGCCAATCTATTTTTTTTTCCAATGTTGGGGTTTGAATACAGCACCTCTTACTTGCTAGACAGCTGCTCTACCACTTGAGCTATGCCTCCAGCCCTTATTTACTTCCATTTATTTTCCAGATAGGCTCTCTGGCCTTTCTGCCTGAGCCAGCCTTGGACAGCACGCCTCCTATGCACCCCTTCTACATACCCAGGACTGCAGACATGCATCTGCGCAACCAGCTTATTGGTTGAGATTGGACCTTGCACTCACTTTTTTGCCCCGCTGGCTTCACTCAAAAGGCAGTTTGCCAAGTTCGGACTCTGAGGAACTGGAGTTCTGGGGTGCTCTCTGGGACAAGGGGAGCTTTGTGCAATTGAGTTCTCTGTCCCTCCTCCCTCTCTCCCAACCTCCCACTCCCCGCTCTTGGCATGGGCCCCACAACTGTCACAGAAGTGACAAGAGGAGTCTGTGCCTTTCCCAGAGGTAACACAGCCCCTGCAGGTCCCCAGCCTTTCCCAGAGGTAACACAGCCCCTGCAGGTCCCCAGCCTTTCCCAGAGGTAACACAGCCCCTGCAGGTCCCCAGCCTTTCCCAGAGGTAACACAGCCCCTGCAGGTCCCCAGCCTTTCCCAGAGGTAACACAGCCCCTGCAGGTCCCCAGAGTGTTTCATGGTGGCTGTAAAATTAAAAAAAAAAAAAAAAAAGGTGCATGTTTTTTGAGCCCAGTCTGGCATTAAATCAGAATTTAAGACCGTGCTATTCACTTTTCAGGAATCCACCACTTCTTTCCACCATGACCCTTTGTGGGAACTCTTTGTTCCTCTTCATACAATTGACCCCATTTTCAAAGTTTTCCTTTAGTGGAAGCCCTGGGCAAATCTTGTTACAGGTGACCATCCGTGTCATGCGCAACCTAATCACTACTGGAATTTCATTGTCTGAAGGCATTCTCTCTCTCTCTCTCTCTCTTCTCTCTCTCTCTCTCCCCTCTCTCTCTCTCCTCTCTCTCCTCTCTCTCTCTCTCCTCTCTCTCCTCTCTCTCTCTCTCTTTCTCTCTCTCTCTCTCACACACACACACCAGAGAAGCAAACTGGCATTCTCCTTGTCATGAGAGTAAGTTGTTGCCAATGTTTCCCCCACTATTCTTTTCTGTTTCCCTGACTACTTGTTGCCAGCAACAGAAATAAGGTTCTGTTGGGGCTGGGAATGTGGCTCCATGGTGGAGTGCTTGCCTAACATGCATCAAGCCCTGGGTTCCATTCCTCAGCGCAACATGAACAGAAAAGGCCAGAAGTGGCACTGTGGCTCCAGTGGTAGAGCTCTAGCCTTGAGCAGAAAGCACAGAGACAGTGCCCAGACCTTGAGTTCAAGCCCCAAGATTGGCAAATAAATAAATAAAATAAAAAAAGAAATAAAGAAGGAAATAAGGTTCAGTTAATTCAAGGAGGAAAAGAATTCATTAATAGGCCCATGAGGTTGCTCACAAAACCTCCAGGTGTATTGGAGGATGCAAGGTGGAAAAGCAGGGACAACACCCAGTAATGCAGTGGAACTGGTTCCATAATGACCTTGC